GTCTGGGCTGACTCCCCTAAATCTTTTAATGACTTCTTTTTGCCTGTGGGATAAAGTTTAAATGCTGTGGCAGATTGAGAAAACCTTTGTGATTTTGCTGAGTTGGAAAAGCAGGTTAGCTTGTTCTTGCTTTTATTATGTTCACAACTTGAATAGTTAACATTACATAAACGCCTATGAACTTGAGTTTGAAGCCCTTAAAGAAACTGCTCACTTTGACCTGCCTGACCTTTAAATGATGTACTTCAGTTGTTCATTTGACAAATATTTAGTACTTACTGTGTGCCTCCCTTGTGTCAGTCACTGTTTTAGGTGTTTGGGATAAAGCAGTAAACAAGAACAAGTCCCTGCCCTCATGAAGCCTGTAATCTAGTAAAGGGAAACAAAGATGTAATATAATGTCAAGTACTGACGAATGTTTTGAAGAAAAATGATCAAGTCAGGAGGGAAGGAGCATTCTAAGCAAGGGAAATGTTTTAGGCCCTGAGTTTATCCTGTTGGAGGAGAAATGCTAGAGTAAACCATTGTGATTTGAGCCGAGTAGGGAGAAGTGGTAGAAGATAAGGTCAAAAAGATAGGCCAGGCTGGATTGTGCAGGGCTTTAGAGACCTGGAAGGATTTTTTTTTTTTTGAGACAGAGTCTCACTGTGTTGCCCGGGCTAGAGTGAGTGCCGTGGTGTCAGCCTAGCTCACAGCAACCTCAAACTCCTGGGCTCAAGCGATCCTCCTGCCTCAGCCTCCTGAGTAGCTGGGACTACAGGCATGTGCCACCATGCCCGGCTAATTTTTTCTATATATTTTTAGTTGTCCAATTATTTCTTTCTATTTTTAGTAGAGACGGGGTCTCGCTCTTGCTCAGGCTGGTCTCGAACTCCTGAGCTCAAACAATCTGCCCGCCTCGGCCTCCCAGAGTGCTAGGATTACAGACATGAGCCACCGTGCCCGGCCCCTAGAAAGGACTTTTGAGTTTCATCTGGTATGTGATGGAAAGCCTTTGGTGGGTTTTGAACAGGGTAGTGCTGTGATCTCATTTACATTTAAAAAAAACTCATTGTGGCAGTTGCTTGGAGATTAGACTATAGGAGGTGTAAACTAGGCAGCATAGTAATAAATTCAGAGGCTTCACAGTAAGCACTCCAGGCGAGAGGTGATGGTGAGTTATTCCAGGGTGGTAGTAATGGACATGAGGAGAAGTGATCATGGTCTGGATATATTTTAAAGGTAGAACCAAGAGGACTTCCAAGACATGTAAGTAGGGAGGTAGACAGAGATAGGAATCTGGAATTTAGGGAAATGCCTCCTGCGGAACATAAGTTGAAAGTTAAGAGTGAATGGTATTTGCACCGTGAGACCAAGCGAGATTGCCTAGGGAAGGAATGTAGATTGTGGAGAGAGGTACAGGGATGAGCCCTAGGATCTTCCAACATGTAGAGAAGCAGAAGAGGAAAGGGAGCGTAAAATGAAACTGAGAGGCAGCTGTCAGTGGAATTAGAAGGGAAAGCTCGACAGTCTTAATTTTAAAAAAAAAAGGGAAATCAAGGAGCATGGTATCTTGAAAGTCAAGTCAAAGAAAAGATTTCAAGAAAGAGGGAGCAGAAAACTTTGTCAGCTATGGAAAGTGGGAAGTGATCAACTGTATGAAATGCTGTTGAGAGTTGGTAAAAATGAGGACATGGAGTTATTGATTGTTAGTATTGACAAGCTGGAGGCTATTGATAACCCTGCCAAGAGGGATTTCAGCTGATTAAGTTGGAGAGAAAATGGGAGGTGAGGAACTGCACACAGCTGCTATAAACAATCCTCTCAGGAGTTTTGTTGCAAAAGGGAACAGAGAAGTGGCATGATGGCTGGAAGGGGCCATGGGGTAATTATTCCTCAGGATTGTGTCCTCAACTGTTGTCCTTTCTCCCATTAACCCATGGCATTGCTTACTCCCCCGTCTGTGTCTCCAGGGCTCTCCGCAGCTTCACACCCTCATGTCCAACTGGACCTTCACAAAGGAATGTCTTGTACCCACACAGATGGGCATGTCGTTAATAAAAATACTTGACATTTAATGAGTGCTTACTGGGTGACATATACTGTCCTAAGGACTTTTGTCCTTTGAGGCAGGCACACTTCTTATCATCCCCCTGTGTCAGTCAGCCTTTGCCAAAATGCCGGAAATAAAGCAACAATTCATTCTCACTCATGATTCTGTGGATCAGCTGGGAAGTGACTTGTGGGCTTGGCTTCAAGTTGTAGTTTGGTTCCAGTCCGTTCTACATGTTTCTCATCCTTTTTGGACCATTCCTGAGGATTCTACCCACTTCTCTTCATTTTTTTTCTGCCACCATGCCCGGCTAATTTTTTTATTTTTTGTAGAAATGGGATCTCGCTTTTGCTCAGGCTGGTCTCAAACTCTTGGCTTCGAGCAGTCCTCCTGCCTTGGCCTCCCAAAGTGTTAGGATTACACGTGTTAGCCACAGTGTCTGGGCTGACTCCCCTAAATCTTTTAATGACTTCTTTTTGCCTGTGGGATAAAGTTTAAATGCTGTGGCAGATTGAGAAAACCTTTGTGATTTGATCTCTGTTTCCTTCCCTTCCTCTCCATCCACTCAGCGTTTTAATGCCTGCCTTCTAAGGCCTCCTTACCTTTCTAGTTCTCAGTCTTTCTGGCTAGACCTCCACACTTAATTACTACACTTCAGATAATCTTCAGGCTTTACCTCTTCTATAAAAATTCCACCCACAGGCAGAATTGCACACTGGCTCATCTAATCTCTCATAGCATGTTTTGGTTATCTATTACTGTAGATCAAACCACGCCAACACCTGGTGGCTTAAACGTTTTATTATCTTTTATTATCTTTCTCGGATGTGTGGGTTGCCTGGGATCACCTGAGTGCTTTGTTTGTGATATGTGGTTGTAGCCAGATAATACTTGGGGCTGGAGTCGTCTGGAGGTTTCCCTCAGCGTCTGGGATGAGTAAAAAAAGCCTTTTTCCCTTTCCACGTGAGTCTTAAATCCTTTCCACATGGCTTCTTCAGGTTGCTCCAGTAGGGCAGCTTGACTTCTTGGCTCATGGCTCCCGAAAGCACAAAAGCAGGAGTTACGAGGCATCCTTAAGGCATAGGCCCCGAACTGCCATAGTGCCACTCTGCCACATTCTGTCGGTTAAAGAGATTCACATAGGGCCATCCCAGATTCATCAAGGAACAAATCTATATAAGAGCATGAATACTAGAAGGCATAATTTATTGGGGAACATCTTTAGAAATTAGTATTAAATATTAGGGCCTAATATATACTTGTTATCATTATGACATTACTTTTTAATCATTTGATTACCAAAGTACAGTCATGTGCTGCCTAGCGTTGTTTCGGTCAGTGAGGGACCATATATATACGACGGTGGTCTTGTAAGATTCTAATACCTTGTTTTTACTGTACCTTTTCTATGTTTAGATATACAAATACTTATCACTGTATTACAGTTGCCTACAGTATTCAGTA